ATCCAGCATACAACCCTATACATATTGGTGAGGGAGGCAAATCCAGCATACAACCCTATACATATTGGTGAGGGAGGCAAATCCAGCATACAACCCTATACATATTGGTGAGGGAGGCAAATCCAGCATACAACCCTATACATATTGGTGAGGGAGGCAAATCCAGCATACAACCCTATACATATTGGTGAGGGAGGCAAATCCAGCATACAACCCTATACATATTGGTGAGGGAGGCAAATCCAGCATACAACCCTATACATATTGGTGAGGGAGGCAAATCCAGCATACAACCCTATACATATTGGTGAGGGAGGCAAATCCAGCATACAACCCTATACATATTGGTGAGGGAGGCAAATCCAGCATACAACCCTATACATATTGGTGAGGGAGGCAAATCCAGCATACAACCCTATACATATTGGTGAGGGAGGCAAATCCAGCATACAACCCTATACATATTGGTGAGGGAGGCAAATCCAGCATACAACCCTATACATATTGGTGAGGGAGGCAAATCCAGCATACAACCCTATACATATTGGTGAGGGAGGCAAATCCAGCATACAACCCTATACATATTGGTGAGGGAGGCAAATCCAGCATACAACCCTATACATATTGGTGAGGGAGGCAAATCCAGCATACAACCCTATACATATTGGTGAGGGAGGCAAATCCAGCATACAACCCTATACATATTGGTGAGGGAGGCAAATCCAGCATACAACCCTATACATATTGGTGAGGGAGGCAAATCCAGCATACAACCCTATACATATTGGTGAGGGAGGCAAATCCAGCATACAACCCTATACATATTGGTGAGGGAGGCAAATCCAGCATACAACCCTATACATATTGGTGAGGGAGGCAAATCCAGCATACAACCCTATACATATTGGTGAGGGAGGCAAATCCAGCATACAACCCTATACATATTGGTGAGGGAGGCAAATCCAGCATACAACCCTATACATATTGGTGAGGGAGGCAAATCCAGCATACAACCCTATACATATTGGTGAGGGAGGCAAATCCAGCATACAACCCTATACATATTGGTGAGGGAGGCAAATCCAGCATACAACCCTATACATATTGGTGAGGGAGGCAAATCCAGCATACAACCCTATACATATTGGTGAGGGAGGCAAATCCAGCATACAACCCTATACATATTGGTGAGGGAGGCAAATCCAGCATACAACCCTATACATATTGGTGAGGGAGGCAAATCCAGCATACAACCCTATACATATTGGTGAGGGAGGCAAATCCAGCATACAACCCTATACATATTGGTGAGGGAGGCAAATCCAGCATACAACCCTATACATATTGGTGAGGGAGGCAAATCCAGCATACAACCCTATACATATTGGTGAGGGAGGCAAATCCAGCATACAACCCTATACATATTGGTGAGGGAGGCAAATCCAGCATACAACCCTATACATATTGGTGAGGGAGGCAAATCCAGCATACAACCCTATACATATTGGTGAGGGAGGCAAATCCAGCATACAACCCTATACATATTGGTGAGGGAGGCAAATCCAGCATACAACCCTATACATATTGGTGAGGGAGGCAAATCCAGCATACAACCCTATACATATTGGTGAGGGAGGCAAATCCAGCATACAACCCTATACATATTGGTGAGGGAGGCAAATCCAGCATACAACCCTATACATATTGGTGAGGGAGGCAAATCCAGCATACAACCCTATACATATTGGTGAGGGAGGCAAATCCAGCATACAACCCTATACATATTGGTGAGGGAGGCAAATCCAGCATACAACCCTATACATATTGGTGAGGGAGGCAAATCCAGCATACAACCCTATACATATTGGTGAGGGAGGCAAATCCAGCATACAACCCTATACATATTGGTGAGGGAGGCAAATCCAGCATACAACCCTATACATATTGGTGAGGGAGGCAAATCCAGCATACAACCCTATACATATTGGTGAGGGAGGCAAATCCAGCATACAACCCTATACATATTGGTGAGGGAGGCAAATCCAGCATACAACCCTATACATATTGGTGAGGGAGGCAAATCCAGCATACAACCCTATACATATTGGTGAGGGAGGCAAATCCAGCATACAACCCTATACATATTGGTGAGGGAGGCAAATCCAGCATACAACCCTATACATATTGGTGAGGGAGGCAAATCCAGCATACAACCCTATACATATTGGTGAGGGAGGCAAATCCAGCATACAACCCTATACATATTGGTGAGGGAGGCAAATCCAGCATACAACCCTATACATATTGGTGAGGGAGGCAAATCCAGCATACAACCCTATACATATTGGTGAGAGAGGCAAATCCAGCATACAACCCTATAAATATAGGTGAGGGAGGGAAATCCTGCATACAACCCTATACATATTGGTAAGGGAGGCAAATCCAGCATACAACCCTATAAATATTGGGAAATCTGTGAGATTGGAATTATGATTCAGATCCTAAATTAATTAACAATGATTAATGAACTGTTGAAGAAATTGTCCATCGTATTTGTTATAATCTTATGTCATCTGGCATACATAATGGATGTATCAATCAAATTATACTGGGATCCTGATTAAAAAAGATAGCAACATCAGGTCTAGAAGGGTTCATGTCATTTATGATGCAACATCAATTCAGTATCAGGAAAGACAGTTGGCAGTTAAGTTGATATGCTTCCGTAATTAGTCAGCAGTAAACAAATCATAAAGATAATTAAAAAGTAAACAAGCGTGAATAACCCAAATCATTCGGGAAGGATGGTGTCGGTGGCACAGCGGCTTCAGCAATGCCTTCCCCGAAGCTGATACTCTGGGTGCCTCTTAGGGCCTCTGAACGCTTCAGGTCAAGGCAGTGCGAGTGATTAATATCGGTCAACAAATAGGATGCATAATTTTAGTAACATAAATATTATTATAAGAATCAATTAAACCTGCTGTATATGATACAGTTACTGTCAATTACAAAGGCTGTCAATAACATCATAGCGTAATACATTGTATAAACCTTATTTATTTTCCAACTCTTCTGTAACATTTTCTCAAATTACATTAATTACTCTTTTTGGCCTGGATGGAGTACTAGTGTACATAGGGTCTAAATGTGGGAAAAAAACTGAGGTACCGCGAGAAAACCCACGTGGTTATAGGCAGCTAGGTGACCCTGTAACATGCAGGCAATCACCTATCCAAACTGTTGACCACTGCACTCAATGTGTTGCTTAATAAGAGTCACTGGAAAAGCTAGCTTGCCAGTACTTAGGCAGTATTTTCCCCTCATATTCCTTAGATGTTACAGCCCAATTGATACCTATTCACATCTGATTGGAGAATCAAACCACGACTGCCTTGGTGAAAGACAAGTGCTCTATTCACTGCAGCCCCTGTATAGCAGCCCCTGTATAGCAGAGTTAATTAAGCCCTATCTGTTATATAGTATTGTTGTTTTTACCTTATATTTATATATATCTGATATCCATGATATATGATAAACTAATACACAAATTGGTGATGTCATCATTTCCTCAAACTGATGACGGCATCGGAAATGCACAAAATCTGTGATGTCATCATTTGCACTCAAATTGGCAATGTTTATAATCTTCAGCACAAAAGTCGGTGATGTCACATATATAACAGTGCCAGCTGATCAATTGGTCCACATCAATTCCATTACTTGATTGTTGTCCTTTATACAGCGATTTTTAAAAATCTGTACCTTAAAATCACTTTACAAAAGTTCTGGGACTCTCTTCAGATGGGAGAAATTGCCTGGTTAATTCAGGAAACTGATTTATTGCATCAGTTATATTGCCCTTTGAGTACTGAGAATGAGGTTAGTCATTCACCTAGAAGGCAGCACTGTGGACGTTGATTACATAATCATGTTTGATTTCAACAGGAGCTGTGAAGTTAAAGCCCTGTCGGAGCTAACAACCAAATTCTAGGACAATGATCAAATCTGCATTCCAATTATATTTATTGACTAGTGCGTTTTGATTAAGGAGGGNGGGGGGTGTCTTCAATACAGTACATTTTTCATCTCTAGCCAACAGAATCTGTTGTAACAATTTCTTCGTCTGTCAATATTTTTCAATACATCAAAAAGTGTTTTGCTTATTTCATATCATTTTTGTCTCTTTGTCATGCACTGTTACAGTGGGGTGTATGAATTTAGCCTTTGTTTTAATCTATTTATGAATGAAGTCTTTTAGCATGATCAGTTGATCTGAATACCATTCACATGACTTTTTTTTGTGGGTTAAATTAACGGGCACAAATTTCATTAAATGTGCTCTGTAAGTTACACTTGATCTGAGTATTCCAAGCCATTTCCATAGAAATAATTTCAGCATTGTGAATGTTAATGATTCACACACCTAAATGTGGATGTCACCAGTGAGCATCATTGCCAGTTGAAATTTCAATAAAGGGAATTTAAATAAAATGTGTATTATACCCCCCTAGGTAAATAATTACACTTAAGAATAACAAGGTTTGAGGTGTTCTTTCAGATGAAATCATTTGATCTTAGAATATAGAGTTTACCGAATTTACTGTTTGAAAACGTTCAATTTTGAGATAAAAATTAAATCAGGAATCCCCGAATCCCCATCCAAAATAGGGTGAGAGGCAAGTATAGATACACCTTGTCAACAGTCTATATAAGTTATGTGGAGTGAATTTGTCAGCATTGCAAAATTGAATCTCAGTATAACTCCTATTGAGCAATATAAATATATCACTATGTGTTTGATATGTGTAATTCTGTCCCTGCGGGACTCGCCATATAACACTGTTTAAGGTATACATAGATATACATAACAGAAACTATATCTGATGGCTGAAATAAACAACAGAAAAGATTGCATGTCATGGGAGCTTTGGTACCATTGCTGTGTAATCAATTGGTAATGTTTTGTGTTTCTACATCATAGTAACAATATTATCACAAAGCACAAACAGGTCTCACCAAGTCATCCTCCTCCGACACTTACAGACAGATACACACTGGTCTCACCAAGTCATCCTTCTCCGACACTGATAGACAGATACACCCAGGTCTCACCAAGTCATTCTTCTCAGACACTGACAGACAGATACACCCAGGTCTCACCAAGTCAACCTCTGCCGACACTGACAGACAGATACACCCAGGTCTCACCAAGTCATCCTCCTCAGACACTGATAGACAGATACACCCAGGTCTCACCAAGTCATCCACCTCCGACACTGACAAACAAATACACCCAGGTCTCACCAAGTCATCCTCCTCAGACACTGATAGACAGATACACCCAGGTATCACCAAGTCATCCACCTCAGACACTGACAGACAGATACACACAGGTCTCATCACGTCATCCTCCTCAGACACTGACAGACAGATACACACTGGTCTCACCAAGTCATCCACCTCTGACACTGACAGACAGATATACCCAGGCCTCACCAAGTCATCCTCCTCTGACACTGATAGACAGATACACCCAGGTCTCACCAAGTCATCCTCCTCTGACACTGACAGACAGATACACACTGGTCTCACCAGGTCATCCACCTCTGACACTGACAGACAGATACACCCAGGTCTCACTAAGTCATCCTCCTCTGACACTGATAGACAGATACACCAAGGTCTCATCACGTCATCCTCCTCTGACACTGACAGACAGATACACACTGGTCTCACCAAGTCATCCTCCTCTGACACTGACAGACAGATACACCCAGGTCTCACTAAGTCATCCTCCTCAGACACTGACAGACAGATACACACAGGTTTCATCACGTCATCCTCCTCTGACACTGACAGACGGATACACCCAGGTCTCACCAAGTCATCAACCTCAGACACTGACAGAGAGATACACCCAGGTCTCACCAAGTCATCGACCTCTGACACTGACAGACAGATACACCAAGGTCTCATCACGTCATCCTCCTCAGACACCCACAGACATATACACACTTGTCTCACCAAGTCATCCACCTCCGACACTGACAGACAGATACACATAGGTCTCACCAAGTCATCCTCCCCTGACACTGACAGAGAGATACACACAGGTCTCACGCAGTCATCCTCCTCAGACAATGACAGACAGATACACCAAGGTCTCACCAAGTCATCCTTCTCCGACACTGACAGACAGATACATGTACTCACAGGTCTCACCTAGTCATCCTCCTCAGGCACTGACAGACAGATACACCCAGGTCTCGCAAAGTCATCCACCTCCGACACTGACAGACAGATACACCCAGGTCTCACCAAGTCATCCTTCTCCGACACTGATAGACAGATACACCAAGGTCTCACCAAGTCATCCTCCTCAGACACTGACAGAGAGATACACCCAGGTCTCACCAAGTCATCGACCTCTGACACTGACAGACAGATACACCAAGGTCTCACCAAGTCATTCTCCTCAGACACTGACAGGCAAATACACCCAGGTATCACCAAGTCATCCTCCTCAGACACTGACAGGCAATTACACCCAGCTATCACCTGATACAGTGTATCTATATAGACAGATCAACACATCACCTGATAGAGTGTGTCTATATATAGACATACCATCACAGGTATCACCTGATACAGTGTGTCTATATATATATAGATAAACCAGCACAGGTATCACCTGATAGAGTGTGTCTATATATAGACAGACCATCACAGGTATCACCTGATACAGTGTGTCTATATATATATAGATAGACCAGCACAGGTATC